ATCTTTGCGCATAACACGATGGAACCAATCAATTAATTTGCTCAACTGGTAACGCTTTGGTCTGCAAGGTGGGTGTTGAGTGTTTAGCATAATAGAAAGTATRTAAATTCAATTTYGCTCAAAACCTACCCAACAGCTYGATCGGGATCTTTAGCGCAATTGACCATAGCTTGTGTAACATCCGAACAGCACATTTACCGTAGCATTTGCTCTTCAAAAAGTTGCTTCCACCCTCAAGCATAAAGCTCATTGGTTTGGGACTAGCGTTTAAGGCAAACAAACAATCAAACGTTGTACACCAGTTTCTTTGCCGATTCTATAAAAAAAATTAAAAAATACATGGCAAATCTTTTGAAATAAAGTTTAATTTTAGCTTACCTAGCAATGCGACGTGCACCTTCCACGAGCACGTCATCGAATTTAAAATTTTGTCTCGAATTCTAGACCAACTAAGTTGTTAACTACATTTGAGTACTTCACAGCATCGGTTATCGCTTTTTCATCTCTTAAATCATATAATTGGAACAGCACCCGACCCATTACGCAGCAATATTAACGAAGCCTTGTTTACTTATTTTATACTTTTATTGGAGTAAAATCCCAGTCGATGTGTTATTTATTTTTTCAATGGAAATATGCAAACACTTCTTGCAGATCAAATAACTAAGGAAACCACGGTAGAGGATTGTTCCATGAAATAAATTAAAACAAATTGTCTTGCAAAAACCTGCATTATTATGACAAAAATATAAATATGGCTGTGAATGAGTATATTCTGGACCCCACCATTCGGCATGGTTGCTTATTTGTTCATAACATTTTTCTCTGGTGAACTTACCACAGTTACAAAGAAGCACAAATAAAAAACTGAATTTTTCATGTAATTGCTAATATTGTTCTCATCTTTAAAAATATATATTAAAATCAAAATATTTTCTTTCGAAAATATATAAAGGTTTTATATATAACCAATATTTTTGTGACAACTTTTCCATTCATTTTTAGAAAATAACACAATGCAACCATTTTCCGGTTAAAAGTCGGCCATCTTGGTTTTTCAAGAGAAACTCAACCCCGAACCCCCTTGACGTTTCTACAGTGGCACCTCTCAGCTGTGGCTTTGTTTACATAAAATCAGCTGATAGTGACTCTACTCCTCCTCTACCGTGGTGGTATA